TGACAGGATGGGCAGTGAGTTCACAGACGGCCTCCATAGCCGTGACAGGACGGGCAGAGAGTTCACAGGCGGCCTTCATAGCCGTGACAGGACAGGCAGAGAGTTCACAAACGGCCTCCATAGCCGTGACAGGACAAACAGGAAGTTCACAGGTGGGTACTACTGACACCTCTGGAGGTTCTGCAGCGGATGCCGCCACCTCTGGAGGTTCTACAGTAGTGCCCTCAGGATACAGGGAGAGTTCGGCAAAGGTTTCTTCGACCCTGACATGACAGGTTGAATGTGCGTTTCTAGACGCCACCACCACGCAAGGAGCTGAAGCGAGCACCGCCGCTTCGGAATGTTCTGCAGCATGCGCCGCCACCTCTGGAGAAACTGCAGCGGGCACCATCGCTTCGGATCCAGGAAAACAGGCAAAGATCAGAAACCGCAAGGCAAAACAAGGAAAACACGGAGACTCGGAAAGGGGTACCGGCTAAACAATACTCAACGGAGAATGGTAGTTTGAGTGGGTGTTATATAGTGAGTGAGTGATAAGAAACAGCTGTGTGCAATCGGTGCAATCAGTGCAGTGTGCAAACCGTGTGCAATGAATGATGGGATATATAGTCCGGGGTGCTATGCAACAGTTTGTGTTGTGCGAGAGTCAATGTAATGTAAAGGGTGACCTCTGGTGGTGAATGAACGGAAGTCCATGGACAGAATTCGTGACAATAACAATTACAACCATTAGAATTTAGTGTTTATTTTTACAGCAGAGAGTGTTTATGAGTTTGAGTTTACGGATTTTAAGGTAATGGTTCGAGCACATCCTCAGGACCTGGACTAAAGGTGAGAAATAAATATTAAAAATAAAGGGAATGTGGTATTTTGGTCGTTAGGATGTACTTGCCACGTTCCAGCATTGTACCACTATATAACGTGGCCACGACGAATATAGGAATGACATGACTGTTAGCTGGGTGGCTTCTTAATAAATAAATAAAACATCAGTTATTGAAATATATTTTTTATAAAAGACAAACTTTATTTTCATCTTTTTATTTTATAGGATACAAAACAAAAGAGTAGCTACAAACATTTATCACTCACATAAGTTATATTTGGCATTATGTTTCCTGTTCCCATCAACCAGTAAGTGTCACATTTTCGAACAAGCATGCTCATAAAGACATTAAATAGACCTTTACCATAAAATAGTCTGCATTTAATTCTTAACTATATAAAATATTGAATATAAATCATTTATTTGCAAACAGACAATGGGCCTCATTTATGAAATGAACATATGACAAAAAAAAATGGGCGTACGGTCGTTTCTATGCAAAACATGGAATTTATCAATATGGACGTGAGCGGTGGCTATGATCAAATCTCACGTCAGCTCTCAGCTCATGTACACAAGTTTTTGAGTTAGCCTAAACTTGCGTGCAGCATAGTAAATATGGTGGATAATTGTATAACGACATAATTTTGTTCATTTATGACCGGCAACCGAAGCTCATTAGTCGATCATTATGTAATTTTTTCAGGGCTTTAGCTTTATATGCGCAAATAGCAGCATAAACAACAGACCATGAGGATTCACACATCGTCACATCACGCACCTACAGCTCTTCTGTGAATGGAGAAAACAGAAATTCAATATATAAAATAAATAGGACTACACAAAATATATTTTTCTTAAATAATTAACAGATTAACAAAAGAAAAAAAAGGGCGACAAATATAGGCTATGTTAGTTTGTGACACTCTTAATGCATTTTATTTGTTTTCTTTCTTTACTTTCTTCAATCAAACTGATCGCGCAGGCACCTCATGTGCACACACACAACATATATGTTCTAGCATTGCTAACTTGACATTTTCAGCCATTCATCAAACTAAAATATAGTCAACCAAACATAAAAGTTAGCAACCAAATGTAACATGGATAAATGGAAACATTTGTATTCTTGCCGAATGAGAGAGGCTCGTGAGTCCAATGCTATTTCAGTTTCGCTTTAAATAAATAAAATTTAGCTTGATGTTTGTTTATAATGAATGCCACTATAGCATAATCTGTTTTATTTTATAGCTTAATATACTTTTATACCTACTTAATTTTCGTTCTTGTTCTGTTCTGAATACCGTTAAATTTAAAGGATTTGTTTTGGAGTGAGGGGAACTAAATAGGCTATATAGTGTTTTGTTTGTAAAGGTTTCGTTATATTTACCAGTATTTATTAAACATATAAATTAATGTAATTGTTTGCAATTACTAGGTTAACGGGTGTTTTTGGAGTATAATTTCTCGTTCATGAGTTTTCTTCCTCTTTTTGGTTATGTTTCTCAATGTCGTAAACTCTAGGGGCAAGGCTTCTAAATATTCAAATGATGATTGTTTTCAGTCGCCACAACATACGATCATTCGTACAATAGTATTGGCAGCATAGGAATGTTTGATGGATCACATGTGAACCCTGTCGTAAGTTGATTTATGCGCTTGGATCTACTCTTGTTTCTACGTTAGATTGATAAACGAGTCCCAATATGTGTGCATTTAAAAATAGTCGGTAAAGAAATATTCATGCTTTATCTCTTATTAACATAATTAGTGTACCAGCTATATTGCTATTATTTAGTAAATATTATTTTCATCAGTCTGTTCAGAATGAAAAACAGAGATACTAACCTCTTTTGTCATTGTTAAATACACAAAAAGTTTGACTTTGAATCTGCTTCCATCTTAGTTGCTATTTCTTCACTTGAGGCATTTACTTGATGTTGGTTTTTTGAACAAAGCTTTAAACAAAGCAAGAATACGATTACAAACAATGTGAAAGAGCCATTTTGTCCAGGACTTTCCCTGGTCCCTAACATAATATTTTTTCCTCTTTCTCAACTGACTGTCCACTTTCTCAAAGAGCTCACTGACCTGACATGTGTTTTGTCTGTCAGTATTATTGAAGACATGATATTGTGATCCACATTCTGCTATAAGAATCTGGAGGTTTTCATCCTCTCTAATGAATTGCTCTAAACTTTTATTCTTGAGTTTGTCTCCATATGTAAAAATTACTGTTGTGAACAAATTCACATTTGAGCACAACATCTTCTGTAGTGTGTCCATCACTTGTCTTTCTTGCTCAGTGAAGCGACCCAACTGAACAACGAGAAAAAAAGCATGGGGTCCAGGATTACACAGAGTCAAGGCTCTTTCCAGCTCCTGCTTTATATTTATATTAGATGCATCACTGTTTAATAAGCCAGGAGTGTCCACAACAGTCACTTTCCTCCCACAGACATCTGCATCCCTCCGTTCACTTTTTGATGTGACGGAAGTGGCACTAAGGTCTGAGCGAAAATCATCTCGACCCAGAATGGTGTTTCCCGATGCACTCTTCCCAACTCCATGAAGGCCAACCAGAACCAGTCGAAGGTGCTCCTTCACTTCTGGAAAAATGGAACTTTAATTGTTCAAAAAGAAAAAACTCAAAACTCAAGGTTGCCATTCACAACCAGTGTTCTGTATATTAAAATACAGACTTTCTTTTAACCAGCATTAGATGTACAGAAATAATATTTACTGTTTTGCAGAGTAATACTTAGAAAAAATGTTAAACTTCACTAAACATTGACAAACCAAACATAACAACTGAAGAAAAACAGACATTCGGAGAGCTTTTCTCACTGACAAGAGCAGACTCTTGCAGCAATAGCAACACCAACACTAATACCAACACCTGCTACCGCCAAACCGGCTTTCAGAAATGCATTGTTTCTTTCTGCTCTATCCCTTGCAGCTTGTTCCTCCATTCTTTTTTCTACCATAAGCCTTACTTTTTCTTCCTCTATTGCTTTCTCAGCTTCCTGGAGCATATTATTTGTGTAATGTGTTTTCCCATTTAAAATCACAAGTTGATCTATAATTTCAAACAGTCTGTTGACCTGGTTTTGGTCATTTGCTATATTGTCAAAAACATGGTACCATCCACTTGTAGTTTTGATAAAATTATAAAGATCTGGACTTTCTTTAACATAGTCATGAATGTCTTTTTGTTGTTTTTTCAACTGGTCTCCATGAGTGAACAGCACCATGATGTATTTTGATGCTTGTTCACCAAAGACTTTCTGAATTCGCTCCACTGTATGTTTTTCCTCTTCAGTAAATCTCCCAAGCTGCATAACCACAAGAAAAATATGAGGGCCTGGTGCAGAGAGGGATATGCACAGTTTAATCTCTGCCTCAATCTCAGTATTTTTATTTTTTGTGTCAAAAAAGCCTGGAGTGTCAATAATGGCCACTTTTTGCCCATTGACATTTCCTTTGTCTTTATCACATTTTGAAGTCACAGAGGAAGCGGACAGTTCTGATTTAAATTTTTGCTTTCCCAGGATGGCATTTGCAGCTGCACTCTTCCCTACTCCAGTCTTTCCAATCAGCACAATTCTTATTTCATCACTGCTCTTCAGATTCTTCTGCACTGTTAAAGGACAAGGACATAATTATATATGTATTCATATCTGTGAGTTAGAGCAAATTGGATCCTTTTAAAGGAGTAAACCCTACCATAAATGTTTTTACTTTATCTGCACTATTAATTCTGGCTGCTTTTTGTCAATGTTTAAGGTACCACTCCTCCTCTGTTAAAATTAAAGTAACTTTTGATAAGAAATCCTTAACATCTATATTTATTTATCACTTCCTTCTGTCCTGTTATACTAACAACATATGTGATATAAGAACCGGCAATATTCCTGAGATATAACCCTTTTTGGGATTCCTAGAATCTCAAATCAATTTTCTAGCTTGAACACCTGAACAAACATCAGAGTTGTTTATCAGCTTTCTGATTAGTGTTACTTTTTAATGTCTGCAAATAATATCTTGTGTTTATGTTGTTTTGTATATCAGATAGTAAATTGATGCATAAAATGCTCAACTATATGAATGTCATATGCCCACTCTTTTTGTTTTTGCAGCTCTTATGATAATATAATTTAATTGTTGCTATTTATTTCAGTTATAATATGTTAGTTATTTTGTTATAGTTATTTTTGCATTTCTACATTTCTATTATTAAGTAATGTTTATATATTCTTAGTAATAGCAGTAAATAAATAAATTAATTAAAAATTTCAACCCATTTTTTCTTGTTTTTATACGCAAGTATAAATACGTAAGTATAAATAGATATCATGACGAAATAATGAATTACCTTTTTTTGTTTCCATTGTGCAAATATTGAAGGAGTGGATAAGTGGGGGTATTTTTCGAAGGTTCTTTGGTATTTTTCAATCTTTTTCAATCTTTGCTGAAGATTTTCTGTCTTCTGACACAATAAAACAGTTCATTCACTTTATATATAGCCTCTTTTAGCCCTCCCATATTGAAATGTTGCAAATATGCAAGAATGCCACACCCACAGTCATCAACTTTCCTTTGGCACAGATCTGGCCCATATCAACAGCTAAAGTGTGGCCCAGATTAGACATTATTTAACCATATTTACACCACACTTATTTTTTATTTAAAAATCATCTTTAAAAAAAAAAATTCATTTTTTTATTTTTATAATAGCAATTTAATAACATAACAGAATAGAAGTGTGCTGATATTGGTAGTAAAGTTGTTTCAAATCTGTTATGAATTTAGTTTAATCCACTTAAGGAAAACATCAGTAACAAAAAAAACTATAATAATATTATATACAATATAATATAATTATATAATATGCAAAATTCCCTCCCTAACTAATCAAAACAGGAGAAACAAGTATATAAAAAAAGAAAAGAAAAAGAAAAAGGCTGCCTTTGATATCCCACAATCCTGTGCATTCCATTCCATGACAGCTGAGCTAAAAAATAAAGATGGTGTCTGAAAGTTGCAGTTGGTGGTCATTTTGTTTGTAAACGTATGTTTTTGACTTTCTTCAGTTTTGATGTTATTTCTAGTGAGAAATTGCTATTATAGTAATTAAATATTCGCACAGTTTTCACCAAAGTTCGCTCTATTTTGTTGTTGATCATTAAACTGGTACGCTGCCTCAGAAGAATGTCCAAAATCAGTTTTGTGTGATAACTTCATGTGCAAACACTACCAGGAAAAATTTCATAGTTTTATTATGTACCCCTTCAGATGTAAATTATTAGGCAAGAATAGATACAGGGCTATCCTTAGGGGGGTGCAACTGGTGCGGCTGCATCTTGAGCATTTAAGGATGTGTGCATCCATGTTGACGTTGTTTAACATCTGATGACACACACGATCTATGCGTTGTTTGTTTGGGCAAAGAGCACGCACGCGATGTCTCCGAGGGGGCAATCCATTTTTTTTAGAAGGAAAAAAGCTCTGCTCTCGTTTGTCTCTCTTTTCGAGGAAAGAGGGGCAGCCATCTGCTTCCCGCGATCCAGGACCCGCCGCTGCTGAGGCACGGAAGGGAATGAGCTCGTGGGGATCGCAGGTGGATCTGGCCGATGAGTTTGAAGGGGGCCAGATCCACCTGCGTGATCGTCGGCTGTGCACGAGAGTGAGCCGCTGGAGGATGATGTCCGTTCCCCATAGCGACCCCTAGAGGACGCAGTGAGACGTTTCCTCTAAAAGCATCTTGAGATCAGGTAATTAAAAATAATTGCTAAAAATGGCTCAGAAAGATTCTGAGAAAAAAAAGGTCTATTTGTTAATGCAACTGTCACGATTAGTTTTGGGTGTTGGCTTATGTTCATATTTTTGTGTTTTTTTGTTGTTGTTGTTGTTTTACCACAGTCATGTTCTCTGTTACTCATGTGATCCCGTTCCCATGTTTTCAATAGGTATGTTTGACTTCATGCGGCGCTGCACAGACCGATCGGCTGCCGACTTGAAGCAGTGCATGCCGGTTAGAAATTTTGTCCGACTTGAGACAGCGCCGATGCCACTTCACTGTGACGTATAGCATTAAAGTACCACGAAAGCGGTGACTGACTCAGCCGACACAGTTTCTCCAGAGCAACTGCAGGAGCGCTGATGACGATTGGATCGAATTCACCACATGACAACAATGACGTGTGTTTCGGGTTTATTCTGACACCTTCAGTTCCACTAATGCTCATAAATCTGTTTTTATCACAGTAAAAGCTCTTGTACTCTAGTTGAAATGTTATATTGAGTCATGTTTATCTAAAAACACTGGCAAAAGTATATAGAACCACTTTATTGGTATTTATTACACGGCTCTGTGGAATACTTGATTCTGATTGGTCAGTCGCGACATTCCGAGGTATGTTATTCCTCGATAACAACCGGTAAAAGCTGATAACACACTCTCATTCGGGTAACTGAAGTCGGCACTATACTCTTGCTAGGAACAGTTCCCTTTCAAGGGAACTTCGAACTGCATCCTTTAGGGGTCTCTATGGGGAACGCCTCGTCGTGACTCGTGTCTGAAGCATACATACAAAAACACCAACAACACGTTGGCCGGCGACAGCTCATGACGTCACTACCGGTGCGATTATAGTATAAATAGGCGTCGGGAGAACACGTCATCCTCTTCTTTGTCTTCATTGACTGTTTTGTTTGAAGCGTGCATTCCGTGGTAAGAACGATCTTTCTTCCTTCATTATGGCGAGCACTAGCAAGACGTTTAGAAGGTGTGTGCATTCGTGTCGGCATTATTTGACACCTGATGACACACATAATCTGTGCATTTTTTGTTTGGGCGAAGAGCACGCACGCGATGTCCTCGAGGGGGCAATCTGTGTCAACAGTGAGAGTTTTTACTCAGCTCTCGTTTGTCTCTCTTTTCGAGGAAGGAGGGGCAGCCGTTTGCTCCCCGCAGTTCAGGACCCACTGCTGCTGAGGCACGGAGGAGAATGAGCTCGTGGGGATCGCAAGCGGATCTAGCCGATGAGTTTAAAGAGGGGCTCTTTCTCTCTCGCGCTCGTCGGCTGTGGTCGAGAGTGAGCCACTGGAGGATGATGTTATTTCCTTAACATCGTCTGATCCAGGGGCCAGTGCTCTGCTGAGTTCGGCCCAGGAGGAACAGGAGATGTCTGAGGAGGGTGAAGAAGCTGAGGCTGAGCCTTCCCAATCCTCCTGCCCTGCGTATGATGAGCTTTTGGAGGTTATGGATCGCACCACGGCGAGGCTTGACTTGCCGTGGACGTGTGCCAAGAAAGTGAAGTCGTCTCGGTGAGCGCTATCTTTCTAACCATAGCCCCCCAGCTCAGGTGAGCCTTCCTTTTCTTCCTGATCTCCACACAGAGATCGAGAAGGAATGGAAGAAGCCATTTTCCTCATGCATTCATCGGTTCCAGCATGCGCGAAAGCGGCTATGAGAGGATGCCCCCTGTAGAAGAGACGCTGGCTAGTTATCTCTCTATGGGTGAGACATCTTCTCTTAAGACTCCCTCCTTGCCATCCAAGCCCCTTCAAGGTACATCTTGCTTAAATGGCAGGGCGTACGCAGCAGCAGGTGAGGCTGTCGCTCCATTGCACACGATGGCGGTGCTTCAGGCGTATCAGGCTGATCTGCTGAAAGACCTGGACTCCGAACTTTTTGGTACATCCGTCGAGACGGTGGTTGAGAAGTTCAGGGAGGCGAAGGAATTGTGCACTTTCTGAAATCCTGTATGGTAAAGGTTACGCGTTATTAGCCTCGTTCCCTTTTCTGTGCAGGGTTCCCACTCTTTCATGAACACCAGATTCAAGGACTTTTTAAAGCACCATTTATTTTATATCAAGCACCTATCAAATTCACACCCCAGAATATGTAGTGTTATGAAAGTCCTTACCGTACTTAACTTTTCACTTACACTTAACATTTACATTAAACATTTCAGAGTAATAATGTTTTGAATGTGTAGGTTTCATAAATTTAGACCGTTTTGAGCAGTTGTGTTCAAATGAATGTAAGGAAATCCATTGAAGTCAGTACTGGTGAAAAATAAAATTCAATTTCTAAAATATTGATAAAATATGCATCAAACTGGTTTTTGCTGTAGTTCTTGTACAAGATTTAAATTCGAAATAATTTCTAAATTTTTAAATTAATAAAAAGTGGTTAAATGTTGTAATAACATGGTAAAACCTGTTAACATTAAAAATTTGCACATTCACTCAAAAGATACGTTACTCATTAATAAATAAACTCAAGTCAAAATAATTTTGTAAATTATCCCATGTTTTCATCTTTGACCTAACTCAAGTCAAACTAATTTTGTAAATTACTTTTTATTGTAAATCCCATTTTTTCATCTTTGACCTAGGAATGCAGCTGCTCAAACATGCAGCTGCTCAAAACGTTAATATTTTTTGAAAATATTTAATGAACGTGCAAATCTGCAAAAAAAAATATATAAAGAAAAGAATTAAAAAAATAGGACTTTCTATTTGCTTTTAAACTGTAAACACTTTTCACTAAGCTGTTTTTCCAATTTTTCAAGTT